CCACACGGAATACTTATTGAAAAATTATCGTATTATGCGTTTTCAGGCCCGGTGCTAAAATGGCTTTCATCATACTTACAAGACCGTTCTTTTTATGTAGTCGTTAATGGGTTTAGCTCTTCAACCAATCTGATAACGTCAGGTATACCTCAGGGCTCGCATCTTGGCCCAATTTTGTTTAATATATTTGTAAACGACATTGTTTCTTGTTTTGAAAACTCCACACCATACTTATATGCCGATGATTTGAAAATGACGAGAACAATTTGTTCACCAATTGATTCGATTTTATTACAGAGCGATCTAGATAAACTCACCAATTGGTGTAAATCTAATGGCATGCAACTCAACTGCAGTAAATGTCTTCATATTAAATTTACTAGAAAAAATAATATTACCCCAACGACATATAAATTGTACGGAAATAGTCTTAAGGAAGTTGAGCTAGTGAAGGACTTGGGTGTTATACTTGATAAAAAATTGACTTATCTTAACCACATAGAAAGTGTAATAAACAAAGCTTCTAAATTACTAGGTTTTGTTATGCGACAAGGTCGAACTTTTAAAGAAGCTAAAACAAAAATCTGTCTTTACAACAGCCTTGTCCGCAGTCACTTAGAGTACTGTAGCGTTGTATGGCGTCCACATTATTCTACACACTACTTAAGACTGGAGCGTGTACAGAAAAGATTCATGTGGCATCTATCATACTCAGCGAAGATTAACAAAATAGTGGTGTCCTATAAAAATAGGCTAAAATACTTTAACATCATGACTCTTGACCAAAGAAGAGAATTGTTAGATTTAATGTTTTTATACAAATTACTGAGTAATAAATTAGACTGCCCCAGTTTACTAAGTAAAATTAATTTTCGAGTACCACGCAGATATCCGCGTACTGCTATTACTCCGGTCATACCTCCACGCACCAGGACGGTATTCGGCGCCAACTCCACAATCCCTCGTTTATGTAAAATATACAATAAATTCAGTCAGTTAATTGACATCAACATTAATTCGCCTAACACCTTTCGTAAATTAATTATCAGCAACCTAGTCAGCCAGTCATCCTGAGTGTGATTTTTTTTCTCATATTAATTATTATGTATATTTTCTTTTAATAATATATATTTAGTTGGGTTAGATTATGATAGTTGTTAAATTAAGTTGTAATTTTGATTGAAAGACTAATTATTAGTTTGATTAAATCTCTTTTGTTGTTTAAATTGATAAGGTTTTAGAGGCTTTTACCAAAATTACTATTGTGTTTTTTTTTTTGTTTGTTTCTGGTTTTGTTTTTTTTTTCTATTATTAACTTACTTTTAAATTTATTCACTAACACTAGCAAAAATAGCATGTAGTGTTTACCTTTAAATGATTTTACATACTCTGTGCATGTAATATAGTAATTATACTTTAAGAAATGTATGTAACGTATGTATTGTAAAATCGCTGGTAGACCCAATAAATAAATAAATAAATAAATATTCCTGGCTACGGTGGCGACCATGGTAATGAGGTTCGGTTGTCACCTACGACGACTCGACCTGGCAACTTATAACGCACGCACCCTGAGGACTGACGAGAAGATCCTGGAGCTGGAAGAAGAGATAGACAATTTGCGCTGGAATATCATAGAATTATCCGAGGTCCGAAGAGAGGGGGAGGACACGGTAATCCTCGAATCGGAAGTGTGTCGACGAGGGTTGCGTACCTTATACTCAGAATCACCAAACGGTATTCCCTGAAAGTCATACAGGTTTACGCACCAACCTCTGCACACCCATGAGGAGGTGGAGGAAATGTATGAGGATATCTCTAGAGCCATGCATTCCTCCAAAACCCACTATACGGTGTTAATGGCAGACTTCAATGCAAAACTAGGCACAAGAGAGAACGGTGAGCTGAAAGTAGGGAAATTCGGAATAGGGCAACGGAACCCAAGGGGCCAGCAGCTGGCCGACTTCATGGAAAAAGAGGAACTCTTTATGATGAACTCTTTCATCCAGAAGCGGCCCCACAGGAAGTGTACCTGGTGGAGCCGCGATGGTTCGACAAAAAATGAGATTCACTTCATTATGACGACCAGACGACAACTGTTCAGTGATGTCTCAGTGATCGCGAGGGTGAAAACCGGCAGCGATCACCGAATGGTGAGAGGCGCACACTGAACCTAAACGTTCAGTTGGAGAGGTCTCGTCTAATGAAGTCAACGTTTTGTAAGTAATCACACTCTTAATCTCGTGGCTGTTAAACGAGATATGAAGTTGCAGTCTTCAGTAGATTTGACAGTATACAGGCAACTGAACAGACAGATCTCCAAATGCATGCGGCGGGACTTACGCAACTTTAATACTGCTCGTATTGAAGAAGCGATCGAGCGGAACCAGGGCTACAAAGTCTGATAGAGATCTGTCTGCCAGAAAGAGCCAACTGTCGAAGCTGAAGACAGCGTCATTTCCGGGACACCTGAGATTTTGAGAGTCTTATCCGACATTATTCCGATGATATCCCGGACGTCAGTCTGAGCGAAATTAGAATGGCTCTCCAACCCCTTAAAATGGCAAGGCCCAAGGCGAGGATGGAATTACAGCGGAGCTTCTGAAAGCCGGTGGAAAACCGGTACTTGAAGTCCTTCAGAAGCTCTTCCGTCCTCCATGGTGGCATTACACCGGAGGCGTTTAGCAGAAGTGCGGTGGTCTTGTTTTTCAAGATAGGCGACAATGCTCTCTTGAAGAACTACAGACTGATTTCCCTTCTGAGCCGCGTCTACGTGCTGTTTTCGAGAGTCATTACGAATCGTTTCGCCCGCAGACTTGACGACTTCCAGCCTCCCGAACAAGCCGGTTTCCGAAAGGGCTTTAACACCATAGACCACATACATACCCTTCGGCAAGTTGTACAAAGTCCGAGGAGTACAATTTGCCACTATGCCTGGCGTATGTGGACTATGACAAAGCCTTTGATTCCGTCGAAATTTGGGCGGTGCTGCAGTCCCCTCAGCGGTGCCAAGTTGACTGTCGGTATATCGAAGTGCTGAAGTGCTTGTACAGTAGAGCTACGATGGCTATCCGAGTACAGAACCAGAGTACGAAACCTATCCAATTGCAGAGAGGTGTAAGACAGGGTGGAGTTATATCCTCGAAACTCTTCACCGCTGCATTGGAAGACGTTTTCAAGCTTCTGGACTGGAAAGGATACGGTATCAACATCAATGGCGAGTACATCACTCACCTTCGATTTGCCGACGATATAGTCCTTATGGCAGAATCGCTGGAGGACCTAAGCACTATGCTCAATGACCTCAATAGTGTTTCCCAACGGATAGGTCTTAAGATGAACATGGACAAAACAAAGATCATGTTTAATGTCCATGTCACACCTATGCCGGTAGTTGGTGGGAGCACTAAGCTTGAAGTTGTTGACGAGTATGTTTACCTGGGACAAATGGTCCGACTAGGTAAGTCAAACTTCGACCGAGAGGTCAATCGACGGATTCAACACGGTTGGGCAGCGTTCGGGAAATTACGGCACATCTCGTCATGTATACGTCAAAATTTGAAAACGAGACTGTACAACCAGTGCGTGTTGCCTGTGATGAAATATGGAACTGAGACGTGGTCCTTTACTGCTGACGGCTCAGCGAGCCATGCAGAGGGCTATGCTCGGTGTTTCTCTGCGTGATAAACTCAGAAATGAGGATATCCGCAGTAGAACCAGAGTGACCGACATAGCCCAACGGATTAGTAAGCTGAAGTGGCAATGGGCCGGCCCTATAGCTCGAAGAACCGACACCGGTGGGACAAAAAGGTTCTCGAGTGGCAACTTAGTACCGACAGGCGAAGTGTAGGGTGTCCCCCCACTAGATGGAGTGACGACCTGGTAAGATATGCAGGAAGTCGATGGATGCAGGTGGCTCAGGACCGTGCTTTGTGGCATTCCTTGTGGGAGGCCTATTTTCAGCAGTGGACTTGTGAAGGGCTGTAATGATGATGATGATGAACCTGCACAAAAAACGGTTTGGATCGACCTTCAAAACACCCCATATAAATTAATATTTTTAATTATGGCTTAGCGGTGTTAACCAGTAAATAATTGTGCAATTGGTATTGGACTATATTATACTTTTAGATTTTGTTAGTGAAATTGTAATAATTGTACATAGCTACACTACACACTGTTTTACATGTATACTATACTATAATCAACTATTCTATAAATCGCTCTATACAGTTACACTACGCTACACAACACTTACATACGGGACACACAAATACTCTACACGCCGCTCCGCGCGTCTATACTACACATTACTTAACTACTCTACGCACAGCCACGTTACGTTACAAGCAGCTCCGCATGTATACTACACAAAACTCAACTACGCTATGAATCGCTTCAGACAGCTACACTTAATGTTACACTTATGGATGATAGTAACCCTTGGGAAGGAACTGATCGCTACGAAGGTATTCCTAATTTTTAGTGTTGTTAATATGCAACATGATACACTGATAGGTCAACTGTTCTTTTTTTTTATTATTTATAATCTATGTATATAATAGGATTTCTTTGTGTATCGTGAAGGCAGTTTACATACATACATTTCACAAGGACAAATATTCAGACCCGGAACAGTTGTTTGTAGGCCCTAAAAATACTTGTTCCGTGTGGGATTTAAACCCGCGGCCCTCGGCGCTGCAACTCATTGCTAAGCCACTGCGCCACGGGGCCGTCCATGTAAAAATTTTAACTGTAATAGCCTTATTTGGTATGCGGTTTTGAGATAGCATTGTGAAATGTCTCGCGCCTTTCACTTCGGAGCCGGTCTGGGTATTATACTTCTTATACATCTTTATTAGTGGTGATGAAGCCTTAAATGGTAAATCTTACTGGCTCTACCACGTTTAGAAATTATTTTGTATAAGAGAAAGATGCGCCGAATTTAAACAATTCAGAGTAATGATTGGTCACGTGCAAGTGTTGATTCGGTGTTGCAGTGCGGTCGTGGCACTCGCTGCGCAACCGCTACCTGCGCTACCTGCTGCCCGCGCTGCAGCGCCTCGCGCTCCCGCACGACGCCGCGCGCCTTCGTGCCGCCGCCGCCACCGGTACGTGCCGCCACCGCCGTCTCACTACAATACACACGTCACCACAATACACACACGTTACCACAACATACACGTCACCACAACACACACGTCACCACAACACACAGGTCACCACAACACACACGTCACCACATCACACGTCACCACAATACACACGTCACCACAATACACACGTCACCACAATACACACACGTTACCACAACATACACGTCACCACAACACACACGTCACCACAACATACACGTCACCACAACACACACGTCACCACATCACACACGTCACCACATCACACGTCACCACAATACACACGTCACCACAACACACGTCACCACAATACACACGTCACCACAACATACACGTCACCACAACATACACGTCACCACATTACACACGTCACCACATTACACACGTCACCACAACACACACGTCACCACAACACACACGTCACCACAATTCACACGTCACCACAACATACACGTCACCACAACACACACGTCACCACAACACACACGTCACCACATTACACACGTCACCACATTACACACGTCACCACAATACACACGTCGCAACAACACACACGTCACCACAATACACACGTCACCATAATACACACACGCCGCAACACACACGGCACTACACATACTCATACGTCGCAACAACACACGTTACTACAACACACGTTACCACAACAAACACGTCAGCACAACACACACGTCACCGCAACGCATACGATACCACAACACACACGTTACCACAACAAACACGTCACCACAACAAACACGTCACTACAACACGTAAGTCACCACTACAAACAAGTCACCACAACGCACACGATACCACACCACATACGTCACCACAACACACATGTCACCACAAAATGCTAGTTACCATTTCAAACAAGTTACCACAACGCACACGATACCACAACACACATGTACGTCACCACAACACGCAATTCACCACTACAAACAAGTCACCACAACGTACACGATACCACAACACACACGTCACCACATAATACACACAACGTACACGTCACTACAACGCACACCATGACAGCACACCTATATGTTTACTTATCATTCATTCGTTACAGCTTATCTAAAATCCACTTCCAAACATAGACCTCTCCCATATATTGTCTCATAGAGGGATATTTGCCATAATTCCGTCATTTTACATATACGTTAGATGCCGCAGTTGTTTTTTTTTTTTTTAATATTTTATACATCGTTGCCTCTTACGACACCCACGGTACAATATGGGATAGATTATTCACACCGCTATATCATATTCCGTCGCTAATTTGAATGCCATTGTATCTCTTATTCTGTCACTAATTTTAATATTCATACAATACTACGTGCTCGGCGGTGAAAGAAATCACAATGGAAAACAAATGGCAATTAACACTTATTAAGTGTTAATTGCCAGTGCAACAAAATTATGACGTGTTAAGACTGAGGGTAGATTACAAATAAGCGTTTAAATTCCCGCACTTGTTTAGGTAGTATAAAGAATTGTGCCGACAACAAGCTTGGGTTGTTTAACGAGTCTCAATTGTCATTTTGTCTGTCGTGGTGATTTTTTTGGTAACAGCAAAGAGGGTGATGTTGCATTGAGGCTTGTGTCACATAGTGATGAACTATGCGTCTGTTAGTTTGCATACATCATTTATTGCAGAATATATATTATACTAGCTTTTTACCCGCGGCTTCGCTCGCGTGTGCTTGAATTTAGGAACATCATTAAATGCTGTTCCGTGCCAAATTTAGAAAAATTCGATCACTTTTAGTCACCTCGATATCTATGTCTCTATGTCTGTGAAAGATTTTTTTTCATTCTAAAATATTACACGTATATGATTGGTAACATGCTACAGAAACACGTGAATATATACATAGACATATGTATATATTCACGTGTATATAAACACCTACTATTTTTTATATTGGGCGTGTCTTCCAATTCCGATGTATCTATAAGAAAGGTAAATAGTCTTGAAATCAAAATGTATTATTATTATTTACATTTTACTCTTTACAAATTATTCATAGTTTTTTAAACTAACTAACTAATTAACTTTAATTTAGTTTTAACAAAGTAATATATTATTTATTTGAGACATTCATATCATCGGTCCTATTTAATATTGATTAGCACCATAAAATAGATGTAGATTTTTTTTACTTGGAGTAGACTTGAAAACATCATAAATACAGTTCTATATTAATGAATACTGCACATGGATTAAAACTAATGTTACGGGTTTTTTTACGCATCTTGGATGAAAGTTCCGAGTACAAGAACATATCGTTGATGTGAAGCACCGAAGCTCCGGGAAGTCTAACGTATGTCAACATGTTTAGTATCGTCCCAACCATTATATCGGATCTGATAGACAACAAATCCTTGCAATAGAACACCGAATCCTACCAATGATGATTCGCGAGGCTATTGAAATTAAAAATATCCTAATTTTAATAGGGAAGATAGTTGCGTGCTGCTAAGGACCCCATAATTAATAAAATTAAATTCAAACTACTACTGCATTTATTCTATTCTATTTTTACGATGACATCAGGTCGTTAAACACCTCAGTTCTTCAGTCTCTCCCGTAACCATGGTTGTTGTAAAGTGCCCAAAACATCGGGAATTTGAAAAGTTAAAATTAAACGCAATAAATTCCTTAAAATTAGTTTTATTCCTTATATACATTTTATTCACAGTGAACGTGAGGAGCACTACACCCATGAACAGGAGTAGAAAAATGTTCACCCTGTTGTGGCGGTGAAATAAAATCCACCACCTCATATCGTCCCGTCGTAAGAGGTGACATATGAAAACAAACTGAAGATGGGATGGGCTGCATCATCTTCTTGACAACAGATCAAAATAATAATAGCTGCGGTTGCCAACCCGCCTGCCAAGCGTGGCAACTTTAGCAAATATCCAGCTACTTGACAATTAATGGGGGAGGCCTATATTAATTTCAGTGGACTTTTGATAGGCTGACGATAATGAGTTCTACTCATCTTTGCAAGCCTTAATATTTACGGCAGAGTGAAAACAAAAAGTAACGCCCTAAAACACGCATGAAATAAAAATGCATATATTGCCCCATGAAAAGTAAAAAAGCAGCAGCTTACATACATGTTACTACTGGGCACAGGCCGCAGAGTTTTTGGCCAAAAAAGTGTTCGCTGCGCTGATTCCAACGCGGGATGAATGTAATGTAAATGATTCAATTATTTACATGGTTTATTCTGTAGCATTGTATTATTTCATTTTATCAATGACTTCCCATTTTAGTTTATTTAGAAGTAAGTAGGTGGCGCTAATATTACATGAAATAATGAAAGCCAAAACTATACCATCTAGTAATATCAGCAATAGAAACGAACATTTATTATATCAATAAGGAATAAAGTGATGTCAATTCTCTTAAAATTTCTGTTAAAAAATGCGCTATCAGCGCCGGTAGCGGTGAAAAACGATTTAATGATATCGTTATATGCCCATATTATGAAATAGCAACATTGTGTTTAGTTATTAATATCTTCAAACGATTTCTATTCATTGATTTAGTCAAGCTACAGTGTCAACAAATAGTGTTAAATAACATGAAATGACCACACCATTTCACGAAATGATAGACTACTTTATGATATATGATCAATTCTACGATCTGGCTACGACATACATAAAAATCTGTTTAATAAAACTATAATGATAATGAAAATTTTGCAACAATTGCAGACAGTCCGGTTTTAATCACTTTACATATATATTAGTAATTGAAATAAATACCTTATCAATTTTCATATTTTTGATATACGTCACCATTATCTATTGAAATTACACTTTTAAAATAAAATAACAAAAATACTAAAAAACTATACGTAGAGTTTTTTAATAATTTTAAAAATCTAATCTTTTAATCATATAAATGTAAGTTATTTATATTATTTCATTTATTAGTAACTGAAAGCAAAATATACTACTTTTTCCATTTGATGATAGATGGCGCTTTTTTGAATACCAAATCGGTGTAGTTTTAAATTATTTTACCAAGATTATAACTATATGTTAAACTTTATTTACAAATATGGTTTTTATTTGAAAAACACCCGTCATCCCGCCTATAACTAAGATATAATAGCTAAATTAACATCTAAAGGAAATAGAATACATAACCTTTCTTTTTTGAAGTTCCGTAATCGGATAAAAAGTACCCTATAAGTTGCCCCGTGTTACTCACTACCTATATACAAAATTTCATGTTAATCGGTTCAGTAGTTTTTGCGTGAATCCGGAATACACAGACAGACAGACAGACAGACAAAAATTCTAAAAACCACTAATTTAGCTTCAGAACCCTTTATTTAGTCCCCTGGACTTATTTTTTCAGGAATATATTAGAATTACAGACACGACTTTTCTACAGATTTATTATATGTATAGATTTACTTTTAATGCGTTCCATGATTATTTTACATAACGTCTATTAAGTAATGTTCATATATTTAAATAGTTCAGAGTATGATGTGACAAAGATTAATGTAGGTTTGTAACACTGTGTCGCAGGCGAGCTGAAGTCTCGCAAGGTGCAGAGTCAGAATTCCATGCTGGTATTACCGCCCGTGCGGAGCGCGTGGGCGCGCCGCCGCCACTCGCGCCGCGCCACCACCACCAGCCCCGCGCCCACCGGCAGCGCGGGCCCCACGCGATCGCTCCGCCAGCCGCGGCCCAACGCCTCCACTCCGAAGAACGCAGGTCAGGTATACTAAACGTACTTTATTGATAGATATCCCAAGATGGTAGGGCCATGCTGCAACTATATTACTGATATAGTTGTAGCACAAATGGGTCGGCTCGACCGGGGAAAGACCACGCTCTCACAGAATACCAGCGTGAAATAGCAACTTAACGCTGCTGTGTTTCGTACAGTAAGTGTAGAGAATCGGATACCCATTTTACTGGAAATGAAGCATTCCATCTTAGCCCTCACGAGTAACAATACATCTGCATTTTGATTTTTATTGAAGATAGATGTAGATGTCTATGGGTCACAGCAACCACTTACCATCAGGTGGACCGTGTGCTCGTTTGTCACCCTTATCCTATAAAAAAAAGATATCAATTCTCCCATTAAAGTTATGCTAGCTGGTAACTTTTTATATACAAATGTATATATAAAAAAAAGGATTAGCCTTGTTGTCGAGATGACGCAGGAATTAGGCCTGTGTTCATAAGCTTTGTGATTAGTTATAAATTCTGTTAATTATCTTACATTTCGCATAAATAAAATAGGGTGATTATAATAAAAATAATTTCTGACGAAGCCATTTAGGCCAGGATTATATAGTAATCAAGTGTATGCACAAACACAGGTGCATTCTCTATTCCCTCACTCTCACAGTCCAGTGGGAGAATAATCCAACACGACCAGAGTGAGATTCAGTCGCGGGACCAACAGTTTTAAAGGTATTCCCAGGCACGGGATTGAAAACACCGCCAACTTCCTGACAGATAAACCCAGTAACTGATTTTGGCCTATTCTGAATTTCTAACCGGAGACCGCATGATGTGTTTACGACCATTAACCAATGAGGCAGTGGTTGGGAGAGTGATTATTCTACCATTTGATGATAATTATAAAAAACTAAACTTGACTTATCAACTTCTCGCTATGTATACATAAATAACACAGTAAATAAAAATAAAATTCAAACTTAAAAACTAAAACAACATGCTTTGATGATCAGTGTGGTGATCCTAGTGAAAACACAAGGTCATAAATATCATGAATTTATTTTCACACATGGTAGAGCCACGCTGCAGCTATATTATGGTTGTAGTACAAATGGATTGGCTCAACCAGGGAACGTTAACGCTCTCACAGAATACCATCTTAAAATGCTGCTGTGTTTCGAATGATGAGTGTAGAGAACCGGAAACACTTCATATTGGTAATGAAGCATTTAAATTGAGTCCGCAGGGATGACAACATATCTGAATTTTGATTCATAATTGAGGATAAATGTAGATGTCTCTGGACCACAGCATTCACACCACCAGGTGAACTGTGTGCTATTTTGTTACCCTTACTCTGTATAAAAGAAGATCGTCTCATAGAAGGGATAATTGCTATAAGTTACCACGCTTGGTACAAGGGTTGGCAATAGACATGAGACGAGTACTCGGTACTTGGCCTTAATTATATTCCAGAGAAAAAAAAAGTCGAAAAGGCAGTCTTTAGCATTATTATTATATTAGACACATTAAAACATCAGGAACATGATGTTTTAATGTGTCTAATATAATAATAATGCTAAAGATACCATCCACACCATCTGGATGATTGGCGGTCCACCACTGTGCGATTTAGAAGATGTTTTCTTCCTCGCACAACTTCCTTGTGGAATAGTTTACCACCAGCGATTTTTCCGGACCGATACGACTTAGGGACCTTCAAGAAAAGAGCCTACTCCTTTTTAAAAGGCCGGCAACGCATCTGCAATTCCCCTGGTGTTGCGGTTGTTCATGGGCGGCGGTAGTCACTTACCATCAGGTGAGCCGCATGCTCGTTTGTCCCCACTCCTATAAAAAAAAAAAAGCAGCAGAAATATTTAGAACGTACATAAGAACCTATAATAGAAATTATTATTACTAATGTTTAAAATTTAAGAGAAGAAGATTGTGATGCAAAAACACTGGTTTTCGGCCCTATTTGGGTCTAGTTTGTAAGGGAAATAACCGCACGCCGACCGCTTCCGCGTTTATTAAAAAGCCGAGTATTCGGCTGAGTACCCGGTTGCCGAGTACTCGGCCAATCACTACTCGTTCCATGTCTAGTTGGCAACCACAGTTTTTATCATTTTAACTTGTCGAGTTGTCGCCTGCTTTGTTTCTCACTGTCGCTTCTTACAACAACTATGAGACGATATGGGACAGTAGATATTCTTACATAGTTAGTAACTTAATAAATAATAGTTTGATTATTTAAAGTAGTACTCGCAATATAATTTAAGTCCCAACAAGTTTATATTTGTATTCAAATATAATTTTTATACTATACGTGGTAGAGCCATGCTGCGGCTATATTAATTGTATAGTTTTAGCACGAATGGGTCGGCTCGACCGGGGAAGGACCACGCTCTCACAGAATACCAGCGTAAAATAGCAGCTTAATACTGCTGTGTTTCGTATGGTGAGTGTAGAGAACCGGAGAGCCTTTTACTGGAAACGAGGCATTCCATCTTGGTCCTTACGGGTTATATCGCATCTGCATTTTGATTCGCAAACGAGGATAGATGTAGATGTGTGCTCGTTTCTCACCCTATCTTATTTAAAAAAAACCTACATCGAACTCTCACCACTCCATAGGTTGACTGGTAGAGAATGCCTCAAGTTATTAAGTCCGCCCTTTGTATTTTTTTTTATTATATGAAACGAAATAAATAATAAGTAAACAAATATGTTCTCAGTTTGAAAACATGCCGATGATTTCAACGTCACCGTGTATAAATAGTGACAAATTATATTTACAGAAAAGTCTACGCGCCCGCAACGCACGCCTACGTACTCAGAGCTGACGCGTCACTTCGCCAACGCAAACGACGACAATTCATCCGATGACTTTGAAAGCACTGAAGCTAGCGCGCCCCACCGCAAACGCAGATCTCCCTTCCACCGCCTCCGTGACCGCGCCACGCCACAAAGTGTCCCAGCAGCCGAGTCCAGGAGCCAACGGTACACCAGACGGTCCACCAGAAACAATACAGACAAAGAACCCTCGCCAGATCACAGCCTGAAAGAAGATGCTCCCAAGAAGAGGAGACGGCTGTACAACCCCAAGACTGCATTTTAATATTTTATGATAATCTGTGGGACAGCGAGTACTGCTCCATATAGAAGTTAGATTATAACGCATTACAAATGTGCTTTGACTAATAAAATGACTTTATCTTTGTATTTAAAATTGTCGGTGTGTCTTTTAGTGGTTGTGTAACTTCCGACTAACTGGACTGATTGATGTTTATATCACAATACAGGGTTATTTTGCAATAACCGGCCAAATTCGCAGAGTAGGTTCAGAATAAGCAATATAGGCAAATGGTGAAGAAAAATTAATTAAAAAAAATAATCTCAAACGTTCTGTCTTTTTCTACCAATTTCAATAAAAGAGACGGTACTCAATTCGACTACATGTTTTTTTTTGTGTGTTACCTCATAACTTATTACTGGGTGAACCGATTTCGACGACTTATTTTATTTGAAAGCTGGTGCTGTGGAAATGTGGTCCCTTATAAATTTGTTCAAGATCTGACCAATAGTTTTTGAGTTATTCTTAATAATTTATATTAAAGTTGGTTGTACAAAATTTTTAATTATATTGTTATCTTTTAAATTCAAAATGTGTGGTAATGCATTATTTTAACTGATTTCACTGCGCACGCACACATTAGTAAGGGTCGATCGGTAGGCTAAAACGTTGTTGCCCATAATAAATCTCATTTAATTTGGGATAATTTCAAATAAAAGTAAAAGCCTTATTTATTCGTATTTTCAAAAGCTGCAATAATTATATCATTATTAATATATTTGATCTTAAGTTTAAAATTTGGCTACTCTGAAAAATAACCCTGTATATTAGTTTAGTCGAGACAATGGTTCATAGCTATTGCTAGGAACTTACACAGTACTTTATACTGCTTGAATGAGTGGAGGAGTTTAACGCTAGGTATCTACCCTCATACTTAACAATACATAAAAAGTGCTCGTGTTTATTTGTGAAAGTGACAAGTGTTCTAAAGTGACTTGTGAATACTATCGTTCTCTGTGTAAATATTGATGTGACAACAAAGTTGTTGATTTAGCGGAACTGAACCACTTAGCTGTGTTAGGCCAATGGTATGTTTAGAATTTTTTACCCATGTCAATACAGTTGTAGTATATATAGAAGATTTATTTTAGGTACTTACTGAATTGATTATAAATTTTTTAATTTTTTTTTTTTTTTATAGGAGAGGGGGCAAACGAGCATGCGGCTCACCTGATGGTAAGTGACTACCGCCGCCCATGAACAACCGCAACACCAGGGGAATTGCAGATGCGTTGCCGGCCTTTTAAAAAGGAGTAGGCTCTTTTCTTGAAGGTCCCTAAGTCGTATCGGTCCGGAAAAATCGCTGATGGTAATCGATTCCACAAGGAAGTCGTGCGAGGAAGAAAACATCTTCTAAATCGCACAGTGGTGGACCGCCAATCATCCAGATGGTGTGGATGGTATCGGGAGTTCTGCCGCGATGTGCGTTCATGAAATTTGGCGGCTGGGATTAATCCGAACAATTCCTCAGAGCACTCCCCATGGTAGATGCGAAAGAAAATGCAAAGAGATGAAACATCTCTTCGCAGTGCCAATGAATCGAGCCGATCGGAAAGGGCTCGGTCGTCGACGATTCGAGCCGCTCTGCGCTGGATGCGGTCAAGTGGAAGGAGCTGGCACTGGGGAGCCCCTGCCCAGAGATGGGAACAGTATTCCATGTGAGGCCGAACCTGCGCCTTGTAAAGTTGCAGGCGGTGTGCCGGCATGAAATACTGTCCCGCTCTGCTGAGCACGCCAAGCTTTTTAGAGGCCAATTTGGCCTTCTCTTCCAAGTGACCACGAAACTGCACGTCACTCGATATGTCGACTCCGAGGATACCGATACTGGCTGAGGCAAGAAGGGGAGTGCCTTGAAACTGAGGAGATACGACAAAGGGGTTCTTTTTAGCGGTAAACGCGCAAACTTGTGTCTTCTGAGGATTAAACTGGACTAGATTTAGTCGCCCCCAATCCGAGACTTTGTCCAGCAAAGACTCGACTTCAGACACAAGTTTGTTCCGGTACTCGGCGACGTTTTCCCGAGAAATATTGGCCCGGCCGGTGTATAGAGCATCACCAGTGCTGTCATCCGCATAGCAATGAATGTTACCAGTTAGCAACATATCATTGATATGCAGAAGAAACAGCGTTGGTGATAGCACACAGCCTTGTGGAACACCAGCGTTAATAGGCTTGTAGTCAGAACATGCACCGTCTACAACGACCTTGATGCTCCGATCTGCAAGGAAGCTGGTGATCCAATTGCACAATTTCTCGGGAAGCCCATAGGAAGGGAGCTTCGAAAGAAGCGCTTTGTGCCAAACCCGATCGAAGGCCTTCGCAATGTCCAGACTAACGGCCAACGCCTCCCCCTTGGACTCTACTGCCTCCGCCCATCTATGGGTCAGGTAGACTAGAAGATCACCAGCTGATCGACCCCGACGAAAACCGTATTGGCGGTCACTGATCAGCTGGTGATCCTCAAGGTACCGGATGAGCTGGCAGTTAATAATGGATTCCATTATTTTGGAGAACAAGGAGGTGATCGCGATAGGCCTATAGTTGGACGGGTCTGAGCGGTCGCCTTTTTTAGGGATCGGGTGGACAAAAGCTGTCTTCCATGAGTTCGGGACAACGCCATGGGAGTAGGAGTACCGGAAAAGACGCGTTAGAACCGGTGCCAACTCCGGAGCACACGTCCTCAGCACAATTGGGGGGATTCCGTCAGGCCCACTCGACTTGTGGATGTCAAGGGAGAGGAGTGCTCTGCGAACCGAGCGCTGTGAGAATAGCACATCCGGCATAGAGCACTCACACCGCGGGATGGTCGGCGGTGTGTTCCCCCCGTCATCAACAGTCGAGTTGGACGCAAAAAGGGAGCCTAAAAGGTCGGCCTTCTCTTTTGCGTCGTGGGCCAGTGAGTCGTCCTCCCTGTGCAGAGATGGTAGTGATGGCTTACAGAAATTCCCTTGGACAGCCTTGGCGAGAGACCAGAATGCACGGGTTCCCGAAGGAAGGCGAACTAGTTTCTCGCCAATTCTGCCTATGTGCTCAGACTTTGCCTTGGCAATAACTCTTTTGAAGGACCTGGAGGCGAAGTTATACTTCTTTTTAAGTGTGCTGGTGTTTACATCCCGAGTCACCGAAGCCGCAGCCCAGGCTTGATAACACTCCTGCTTTCTGCGCAATGCAGTCTTACAGGAGCGACCAAACCAAGGCTGAGATCTGCCTCCAATGGGTACCACAGATGATGGAATAAATAGTTCCATTCCCTGTAGCACCACATCAGTGACAGAGTCAGCAACAGCGCTGGGATCATCCGGCGAGAAGCAAACACGCCCCCATGGGTAGGATGCAAAGAAAGACCGCATTCCGTCCCAATCCGCCGACCTGTAATGCCAAACACGGCGGCAACCTGCAGAACGCAACCGCGAAGGGAGCGTGAGTGGCACCATACTCCGGATCAGACAATGGTCCGAAGAGCCGAGAGGGGCATCGACGGAAACCTGATATCCGTCCGGATGAGAGGTCAGCAGAAGGTCCAACAGGGAAGGTGTATGATCCTCCACATCTGGAATCCGTGTAGGCGAAGTAACCAGTTGTGTCAGACCATATGCCAAAGCAAAGTCAAAAACAGATCTCCCCGCATGATCGGTTAAACGTGAACCGAGCCATTCGGCATGGTGGGCGTTAAAATCGCCAAGGATCACGATCTCTGCGGATGGGACCTGTTGTAGCAAGGAATCTGTAGCCATTTGGACGTGGTCGATGAGTCGGTCTGTTTCGGCATTACCGCTATGGGACCTATAGAGGCACCCGTAGACGCGCGGATGGTCGTCGCTGTCTACGCGTAGCCAAAGGATGGACAGGTCCGAACCTTCAAGACTGCCGAGGCGTCGAGAACAGATGTCCTCTCTGACATACACGCAAACTCCAGCCCGAGGCACAAAGGAGTGCTCCAATTTGTACCCCGGGCAGGAGAGATACGAAATATCAGCCGGAGAGGAAACCTGCGTCTCGGTCAGAAAGAGCAAGGCCGGCTTCGCCGTCTCGAGATGGTAGTGGACGGCGTTTAGGTTAGAGTGAAGTCCCCTGATGTTGCAGAAATTCACGGATAGCGTGGCAGGGGTCGCCTTGGTATTGTTGCTCAGTTTGCCCCAAGCAGTTTTGTTTTTGAGCGGAATTTTGCCCCCCCCAGAATACGCGGGGCAGCCTGAGCACCCACGCTCAGGATTGGAATAACATGGTCGTGGATGCTCAGCGAGGGATTCTCCAGGGGTACTGGTACCCTCCTGGGGTAGTCTACTTTGTAATTCCGCTACCATGTTGATGGGGGGGGGGGGGAATTGGGCCTCCGGCCACCTGCACTCACCAGACGAAACGCAGAAGCAGAGCCTCTACTTCACGCCGGTATTCTGTGAGGTCGTGGTACCAACCCGGCTCGAGCCTGCCCATACGTGCAACAGCAAAAAAACTGCTGCAGGGCTCTACCACCGTTCTTTCTTGGTCAGTTATAAAAGGTTTGTAAAATATTGATGTGTTAAACACACTTCAAAAAATTAAGAACTGAGTTTGGTCCAACCTCGTGTTTAGCAATCGGGTTTACGAACACTAGATCAACCGGCAGTCAAAAAACCAAATATAAGTCGGATGAAAAAATGTTATTAGCTATCTCTTTTTTTTTCTTCATACGGTTATGTAAGTGACAGTGTCGCTTTTTGTTTGTTCTCTGTCCATTTTCATGTATACTGTATGTGTGCTATTTCAGAATCTTGAAGCAATATTTAAATAATTTTAGGTTTAAACTCTGCCTATATTACCAAGGTCAAATTGCGGGTCAAATCAAACATCAGTGTGAATATAGTTTGACAGATCCAATTTGAAACATATACAGTATATAATTTTTTTATCAGCATGAACACAAACAAACAAATCTTAAAGCTTTGCTCTAGGTAGTTTTACTGTTTTTGTGAAATTAGTTTGTATAATTTGCATTTTTTTTTTAA